GTTCTATCCACTAGTTTAGCTTTTGGTAGCAATTTTAACCAGAATCGGGGTTTGTTTTGGAATGCTTACCTTTCTGGATGCTTGACCGGTCGATGGCAGATATAGAATGCTTCCAACCACACGGGGGTTTCTATAGGCCATTGCTCCCCTTGCCTCTATGAGGGGGCCAGGTTCTGGCCGTAGTCCCCGGTAGGCCCTAGAACTCCATACACATGACTGATGCCAAAGTCTGACATTAGCATATCAGCCTGGTAAAGCTCCGGGGAGCTGACGGGGCTCCCCCCATAAATTATGTGAGAAATCTTTAAAGACTTCTGATAAAGAAAGGGATTTAGGGGTTGTTCTAGATAGAAAACTATCACCTGAGGACCACATAAAGAACATTGTGCGAGGAGCCTATGCAACGCTCTTTAACTTCAGAACTGCTAGTAAATACATGGATGGACAAATACTAAAGAAATTGTTTATGACTTTTGTTAGGCCAAAGCTGGAATATGCAGTGGTTGTATGGTGCCCATATCTTAAGAAGCACATCAACAAACTGGAAAAGGTGCAACGACATGCTACTAAGTAGCTCCCAGAACTGAAGGGCAAGAACTACGAGGAGAGGTTAGAGGCATTAAATATGGCAAAACTAGAAGATAGAAGAAAAAGAAAAGATATGATCACTATCTACAAAATAGTAAGAGGAATTGATAAAATTGATAGGGAAGATTTCCTAAGACCTGGAACTTCAAGAACAAGAGGTCATAGATTTAAATTAACAAAACAAAGACGCCGAAGAAATATAAGAAAATTCACTTTTGCAAACAGTGTGGTAGATGGATGGAACAAGTTAGGTGAGAAGGTGGTGGAGGCCAAAACCTTCAGTAATTTCAATGCGTTATATGACAAAAAATGCTGAGAAAACAGTACACCACATCGTAGCTCTCATCCTGTATCTACACTTAGGTAATTATACTTAGGTAATTACATCAGTTCAAGAACTGGGGTGGTGGGCTGCCAGCTCCCACTTTCCCCCTAGGGTGCGAGGGATGGGGGGGAGGATTTGTAGCACTAATGAGCAGGAGTGCTAGCTAGCTGAAGGTAGATGAAGTGTTGCTTGTTTTCTTCCTGGGGGGAGTTCTTTAGCTCTTTTCGAATGGAGGCCGCAATTTTCACCAGATTGTGATCTGTTTTGTTTCATCTATCTTTCTGGGTGCTTCCCCAGTCTATGGCAATTACGACATACTGTACTTTACATGTAAAGTGCTCATGAGCCATTGCTCCATGCGCCTCTCTGAGGGGGGTCAGGTTCTAGCTCGTGATCCCCCAGTAGGCAAAAGGACTCCTGTGACTGAAGACCCCCCAAACTAATAGAGCATTATATCAGTTCAGATAGCTTCAGGGAGCCGACGGGGCTTCCCACAGAAAATATGATTTAAATGTTAATGTTGAGAGGGGGTAATTAGTATATCAAACATAAATGGATAGGAGGTGGGGCATAAAGAGCTATACAGTATCCACTCGATTTAACGGCCTATATGGGGCTGTACCCTGGTCATTATTTCTGGAGCTCTGGTATTTCCGAAGTTAAGTGTAGGTAATTTTTCAAGTAACATTCAGGAAAGATATATTTTATATAGACAGCCACTGGGTCCACCACTCTAGTGCCTTCTACCCTGTGACGTCACAGATTCACGGCTCATTGTTTTGATTTGTCATGAGGCTGGAGTATTCACTCCGTGACTTTGTTGGACATATCGGCACAATCAAGGAACATCCGTGCACCATGTCAGCTCCAAATGCACTCGTTGTGTCAGTGATGGCTGACTGGTGGGTGGATGGGCAGGCAGGCAGGGTTGGAGAGGCTGAAATGTAGGCAGGCAGGCAGGGAGAGGCTGGGAGGTAGGCAGGGAGGGAGAGGCAAGGAGGAAGGCAGAGCTTGGGAGGGAGGCAGGCAGAGGCTGGATGGTAGGCAGGGAGGGAGAGGCAAGGAGGGAGGCAGAGCTTGGGAGGGAGGCAGGGAGAGGCTGGGTGGTAGGCTGGGTGGTAGGCAGGGAGGGAGAGGCAAGGAGGGAGGGAGGCAGGCAGGCAAGAGGCAGGCAGGCAGAGGCAGGGAGGTAGGAGGCAGGCAGAGGCAGGGAGGGAGGGAGGGAGGGAGGGAGGCAGGCAGGCAGGCAAGAGGCAGGCAGGCAGAGGCAGGGAGGGAGGCAGGCAGAGGCAGGGAGGGAGGCAGGCAGAGGCAGGGAGGGAGGCAGGCAGAGGCTGGGTGGTAGGCATGGAGGGAGCAGCAAGGAGGGAGGCAGGCAGGCAGAGGCTGGGTGGTAGGCAGGGAGGGAGGGAGGCAGGCAGAGGCTGGGTGATAGGTAGGAAGGGAGTGGATGGAGATGGATGGTAGGATGGAGATGGATGAAGGGATGGATTGATGGATGGATTGATGGAGGGAGGGAGAGAGGGATGGCGCTATGGTTGTTGAGGTGAAGCAGAGAGAGCTGTGTATGGGAAGTTTGGGGGGGAGGGGGGTGTCGTTGGTGGGGGAAGGGACCGGCTCACAACCAGATGTTTAGATGGAAGGAAGGAGGGAGGGAGGGAGGGAGGGAGGGAGGGAGGGAGGGAGGGAGGGAGGGAGGGAGAGGGAAGGAGGGAGGAAGGGATGGAGGGGAGGGAAGGAGGGAGAGATGGAGGGAGGGAGGGAGCTGGGAAGGAGGGAGGGATGGAAGGAGGAGGGAGGAAGGAGGGAGGGAGGGAGGGAGGGAGGGAGGGAGGGAGGGAGGGAGGGAGGGAGGGAGGGAGGGAGGGAGGGAGGGAGAGAGAGAGGGAGGGAGGGAGGGAGGAAGGGATGGAGGGGAGTGATGGAGGGAGGAAGGGAAGGAGGGGCAAAGGGATGGAGGGGAGTGATGGAGGGAGGGAGGATGGGAAGGAGGGGAGGGATGGAAGGAAGGAGGGAGGAAGGAAGGAGGGGAGGGGAGGGATGGAAGGAAGGAGGGAGGGAGGAAGAGATGGAGGGAGGGAGGAAGGGATGGAGGGGAGGATGGAGGGAAGGAGGGATGGAGGGAGCAAAGAAGAGAGGGAGGGAGGGAGGGAGCAATGGATGATGAGGTGAAGCAGAGACCGTGGGAGGAAGTATGGGAGGATGGGGGGGGGATGGGTGTGTGTGTGTCGGTGGTGGGGAAGGGAAGAGGCCTAACACTTGACCCAGTTAACCAGATGTTTGGATGGAAGGAAGGAAGGAGGGAGGGAGGGAGGGAGGGAGGGATGGAGGGAGGGAGGGAGGATGGAGGGAGGGGAAGGGAGGGAAGGGATGGAGGGAGGGAGGGAAGGAAGGAAGAGGGAGGAAGGGATGGAGGGGAGGGAGAGATGGAGGTAAGGAGGGAGGGAGGGAGGGAGGGAGGGATGGAAGGAAGGAGGGAGGGAGGGAGGGACGGATGGAAGGAAGGAGGGAGGGACGGATGGAAGGAAGGAGGGAGGGACGGATGGAAGGAAGGAGGGAGGGAGGGAGGGGAGGGAGGGAGGGAGGGAGGGAGGGATGGAAGGAGGAAGGAGGGAGGGAGGGAGGGAGGGAGGGAGGGAGGGAGGGAGGAGGGAGGGAGGGGAGGGAGGGATGGAAGGAAGGAGGGAGGGAGGGAGGGATGGAAGGAAGGAGGGAGGGACAGATGGAAGGAAGGAGGGAGGGAGGGAAGGAAGGAATGGAAGGAAAGAGAGAGGGAGAGAAGGAGGGAGGGAGGGAGGGAGGGAGGGAAGGGAGGGAGGGATGGAAGGAAGGAAGGAGGGATGGAAGGAAGGAAGGAGGGAGGGAAGGAAGGAAGGAGGGATGAAGGAAGGAAGGAGGAGGGAGGGAGGGAGGAAGGAAGGATGGAGGGAGGGAGGGAGGGAGGGAGGGAGGGAGGGAGGGATGGGATGGAGGGGAGGGATGGTTGGATGGAGGAAGGGAGGGAAGGAGCGATGGAGGGAGGGAGGGATGGTTGGATGGAGGGAGGGAGGGATGGATGGTGGATGGAGGGAGGGAAGAAGAGAGGGAGGGAGGGATGGAGCAGTGGATGATGAGGTGAAGCAGAGAGAGCGTGTGTATGGGAAGTATGGGGGGGCGGGTGGTGGGGGGGGGTGTCGGTGGTGGGGAAGGGAAGAGATAAGCCTAACACTTGACCCAGTTAACCAGATGTTTCTTTATTTAGTTCTGGATGTACATCATATATATTTTTGCTTGCAGATTTTGTTTAGTAATATTATTAGGATAATAAAAAGTTATAAAATACTTGTTTCATGAATGCTTTATTAGATGGAGATTCTCTAGGCTGTCTCTGGCTGGCTGGCAGTCTACTGAGCCATTTCCCAGAAGGGTCTTGGGGGGGGGAGGCAGAAAATGAGGGTGTGGGGGTAGAGGTTCAGTGAAGGTGAGGGAGGGGATGAAAGGGGTAGGCGGCCTGCTTGCCATGTGAGGACCCTCTGATACTAAGACAAACCCAATACCGATCTTCGGTAACATCGACCGCCAGACCGTTATACGAGGCTTTAAATACCGGTCTCCCAAACCGGTCGTTATTACTGGCAGATCGGTATAAAAGAGGCCGTTAAATTGAGTGGATACTGTATCTCACTTCCCCATAGTCATAGGTAAGCACTGCTAGGTGAATAAAGGAATGAGGTGAAAAGAAAAGTTGCCTCATTGTTTGTGCTTTGGCCAGAATGACTACTATCATCCTTGTACTTTTATCCACATAACTTTTTTTATCTACATTAAAAAAATCTCTACATTTCTCTACACTAAAAAATTCTTGATCTACATTACTTTTATCAGCATAAACTTTAATTTTATCTACATAAACTCTTACAATACTCCCTAATACATATTAAAATAATCAACATACTGGGTCCCAATTCAATTCCCCAGGACAAATGAAGTTGGGCAATGTTTTCTTCCACCTGATGCCTTTGTTTACCTAGCAATAAATAGGTAACCATTAGTTAGGGCACAGGAAACAAATATTATGCAAAAATCTACCAACATAGTTATTTAATACCTTTGAAATTCTTGATCATGTGGGAGATGCCCATATCTGCAGGAATCGAGTCATACCCACACGCACCGACAACATGAACTCCTGCCTCCTCTGCTGCTGCCGCGTATTTTAGCTGCATGCTTTCCAGGAACTTAAATATAAAATAAATAAAAATAAATTAAATTTCATTTTTTTTTAGTATTTATTTCCAATTTATACAGGATGAATGAAATACATAATATTCTGTTACAAATTTTTTTTAGTACCTATACTTAACCCTTCAATTGCGCATCGCATCATATGATGCTTTGCCCGACTTGCAGTATATTGCGCATCGCATCATATGATGCGCGGGCGTACCGAGCACGATTTGAAAAGGCCCCGGGGGTAGAGGGGGTCCCCATACGCTGCCCAGGGGCTATAGTAAACAGCCGCCATTTTGAAAAAAAATCCAGCTCACGCTACCATCGCTTGGGAGGCCTCAGTTACCCGGCAGCCACCATGTCGAGCGCACGGCCGAACGCTTCTCAGGCATGCCCCACGCAATCACTCACCCAAGAGCAAATAACCAGTGAATTATTTTCCGATGGTGAGGAAAGTGACTTTTATGATTCTGATATTGATAAAGACTACACCCAATTGACCGATGTTGATAGCACGGACAATGAATATGAGATACAGCCGCCTCCTATGGCGAGGCCTATACCCTCACCCATGCCGCCTCGGCCAGCGTCGACCCCAATATTCCCTCGGCCACACAGTTCCTGTGATTATTTAGAGTCTGAGGATACTTTCGGTGACGAGTCAGAGGAAGGTGACTTTTTCTGGTTTTAGTGAAGTGGAATCAGAACATAGTGTTACCGAGCCTGGTGCCAGTACCAGTGGTGTTACTGGGCGAGATTTTGTCGCGTCAGCAGTGTCTCGCCCAGCCAAGCGCCACCGCATGGAACAACATGAGGCACCAAGAGCCTCATGTTCACGTGCCTCTACCTCACGTGCACGTGCCTCTACCTCATGTGCACGTGCCTCTACCTCATGTGCACGTGCCTCTACCTCATGTGCACGTGCCTCTACCTTACGTGCAGGTAGCGGCTGTACTGTGCATAGACGGGCTTCAGCTCCTGGTCCACGGGGTGCATCGCTTCCTCGCCGTAGTGCCTCTGCTGCGTCCCCTGTTGCGTCCCCTGTGTCTCGCAGGACACCAGGTGTACTAGTGTGGAGTGATGGTGCTGGTTTTATTCCCCGAATTCCTGCCTTTGACGATAAAGACGTTGGAATTACAGATCTTTTCCCTGATAATGGTGATGATACGAGTGAATGTGATTATTTTACCGCATTCTATGATGAGCCCCTCATGGAATATATTGTACACCAAACGAACCTTCATGCGGCTCATCTCATTAGAAAAGATATATCAGAATTTTCACGCTTGCAACATTGGAAAGACACCAATATAGGGGAAATGTATGTGTTTCTTGCAATATGCATGTTGATGAAAAACTGTGACAAACACGCTATCACAGATTACGGGAGCAAAGATCTGACTATTCCAACACCTTTCTTCGGGAAATGTCCAGAGACAGATTTCAGATACTCCTCAGGTGTGTGCATTTTGCAACTAATGAGGACCGGACTGAGGAGGATAGACTTTGGCGAGTGAGGCACTATATGAATGAGGTGATTGGAAAATTCAGAGATTTTTACGTACCAGCACAGAAGCTGGTGATTGACAAATCCCTTATACTATTCAAAGGACATGTTTCATTCAAACAGTATATTCCCTCAAAACGAAACAGATATGGCTTGAAATTCTTTGTACTGTGTGACTGTGAAACAGGATACGTGTTACACATGATTCTGTATTCAGCTAGCAATGTAGACATTCCCGGTAACGACGAACATGGATTCTCAGGTAGTGTGGTGAAGTCACTGATGGCACCATGGATGAACAAGGGCCACATCCTATACACAGATAATTACTATACAAGTCCATTGCTAGCTAAGTTCTTGATTGAAAATAGAACCGGGTTGGTTGGCACAGTAGGCCACGAAGAAGGGAAATGCCAGTGTTTGTCGGTGGACTTGCAGTTGGTGAGTGCCAGGTACGGAAATAGGATGACATTCTCTCAGTACGGTGGAAAGACAAGAGAAAAGTGAACCTGCTGACAACCGTTCATGATGGTACAATGTTGAACAGTGGCAAGGTGCACTGTGTAACGAGAGAACCAGTATATAAGCCAGATTGTGTTCTTTACTACAATATCAACATGCGTTTGATTGATAAGGCTGACATGATGATTGGCACTATCGAGTGTGTGCAAAAAACATTGAAGTGGACGAAAAAAGTGTTTTTCCATCTTGTTGACATGAGCATGTTGAACTGCTATAATTTGTACCTGGTGAAAACTGGACGTAAACCTGTGTTCCGTACATTTGCTTTTACACTTGCAACGCAGTTATTAGCAAAGTTTGGTCAAGAAGTCCCTGGCATACGAAGACCAATCATGAACCCAGTGTTGCAACATGATGCAACACCCAGGCTCACTCACATAGATGCCTTTCAGCAACACAGACTAAAGAATTTGCCAGCAGGTGGAAAGCGTGCAATAGGCCAACGTGCATGTGTAGTATGTAAAACAACAAAACGAAGAGAGCAAAAACGTAAAATGGTGCAAACAAGGTGTGAAGGGTGTGGAGTTGCATTCTTGAGGTTATCTTGAGATGATTTCGGGGCTTTAGTGTCCCCGCGGCCCGGTCCTCGACCAGGCCTCCACCCCCAGGAAGCAGCCCGTGACAGCTGACCCAGGTACCTATTTTACTGCTAGGTAACAGGGGCATAGGGTGAAAGAAACTCTGCCCATTGTTTCTCGCCGGCGCTCGGGATCGAACCGGGGACCACAGGATCACAAGTCCAGCGTGCTGTCCGCTCGGCCGACCGGCTCCCTGTGTGCTGTCGACTGCTTCAACAACTACCACACACTCCAAGACTTCTAAATGTGCAATAATAGTGCAAAAACCTGTACATAGTGCGTGCTAGTGTGTACATATAAAATAATAAACATTGTGATTACTGTACATAATATAATGCCATAATGGAAAACGTTTGTGTGCGCATGTGTATACTTGATGTGTGCAACATATATTGACAATAACTGTCAAGTGACATTATGTGCAACATAATTAGTGACTAATATTGCAAAGAATACATGCGTAAACACTGTAAATAATGACGCGAAAATAAATTCGTGGCAACTGTGGCTGCTTGAAAACCGCGCACGACGCCTCCGGGACGCACAGTGCATGAGCGAACATGCAAACTGTGACGTCATCACCCATCTTCTCGGCTCAATTACATCGCCGGTAAGTACAATTGAATTTTTTTTCCTGTGATCAGGAAACACGACTTAACAGGTTAGGAAGAAAAAATAATTTTTTTTTTTTTTTTTGTGCCTGTGGGTGTCAATCAGTATATAGCCATGCACCATTTAAGGGTTAACCACCAAGCTGCGCCGAGTTTATTGTGAAATTCCCCCGGTGCGCATGAAATAAAGTTTTCCCAAAAAATTCTTTTTTCTTCGTAAAATGATAAATTCCCTTCCCTGAACATGTCTATGTAAAAATAAATACCAAATTCCACTTACTTTGGCTGTGGGGATGTGGACAAGGTGCGCTGTGGCGTCATCAGGGCCTGGTCGCCCATGGGTGAATCCCCCAGACACGGTAGCGCGGGCCATTCAAGCACCGGGTGTTGCTACAAATATATTTTCAGTTATTTGTTTTATGTATTTCTAATATGATTTTATTTGTTTTATTTATCGTATATGATGCATATTTGTGTCCTTTACAATGTGTATACAGTAGAACGTTCATAATGTTCCCTGAAACTGTGATACATGTGTCAGTAATGTGTCCACAATAAATGTATATTGTCGCAATATTACTTGTTAAAAATTCACTATAATTACAATATGTACAGTTTCACACACTATTTACACAGTAACACACTGTATTACACACTCAGTACTTCGGAAGTGAGTAATAATCAACTAAGTAGCCCATGGTACACAGCGCGACTTCACTATCAGTACACCAGGTACAAATAAATTTTCACTTCCTGTTTCTTCATTCTGTGTGCTTGCAAATAACGCACTCACGTACACCCTTGGCTTTAGTACTTGTAGGTTGTATGTAGCCAAGCTTGTAAAGCATAAGGTAGTATTGAAAGGATTATAGGAAAAGATCAATTTGTAAGGTAGTCTTGAAAAGATCGCTTTGTATGGTCCCACACAGGAAGAGATTCAGCTTACCTCAAGAGTGTCTGTCAGTCAGAAAGAGATTCAGCTAGCCTCAAAGAGTGTCCGTTAGTTAGGAAGAGATTCAAGTATTCTTGAAAATATCTATGGAAAACACCACCATGGAAGCCGCTAACACTGTTCATCTATGCTATTTGTATCAGATGCATCATCACTAAGTGCAGAAAATGATTCATCTATGTATCATCTAAATAAATTGTAGATAGCATAGGATTGCAAGGGTGATGCTCAGAGCTACAAATGGATATGCTCGCTGTATCGTCCTTATAGGTGCTGTATCACTTGCATCCGACCTTTGTGTTAGGTTCTTATTGCGCCTAGTTTCACCAATATTATGATCCTTATGTTCTTCAAACAATAAGGTTTGAATTTCACTGACAAAGCATTATCTTTCAACACCTTTCAACATCGCGTCGGACAAGTGTTTGGGAGCCAGAGGCGCGTGCGCCACTCATGGTTGCTTATTCAGTACTAACCCAGCCAGCAGCCCTAGGGCATTCTGGGATTTTTTTCCAAGATGGTTGCCTCTCACTGGAGGTCCTAAGAGTCCATTTCGTACACAACCAACCTCGTACACATTTAGAATTGGTACCGAAAAATCAAAAATAGTTTTCTCGGTTGGTGCAATTTCCCGCCGACCGAGAATACTCAGTTGGCGCAGTTAACACTTTCGCGCTTTCGAGTAGAGATAACTCGTCACTGGTTTTTCTTACGATTCCGCATAACTGCCTACTTTTCTCGTCAATCGAAAAAATATTTCTATAAATTCCATTTTTTAACCGAAATTGATGGGGATACTCTCAGATTGTTCTCCATGAAATTCCCGTTCTCCCTCACC